ATCAGTTTCTCTATAGCTTTCCGGTCACTGTGGTTTCTCCTCTTTGCTACTTTAAGAATTTACCTACTTTCTCAAAATCCTTGAGGTTGAGTCTGACTTCACTTGTGTCACAACCAGACCAGTTTATAAGAAAATTGCAATAAATGTTCACAGATATTACTTTAGTAAAGTTGCCACAGTCTAATGAACAGCCCCCCCACCCGCCCTTCCATTGTATTTCTCAGGGAACCAAACTTGAGTATTTCAGGTGGAGAAATGGGTAGAAATGAAGACCCACGTGGTCTGAAACACACTTCTTCCTACAATATTATGTCTTTACATAATTATTGAAGCACCCTTAGGGCATAATCTAAGATGAATCAAGAATGCCTTATGATGTTGCTTTCATTATCTATGAAATACTTACCTGCATAAAACTGTAAGGAGTTGCTTGCTGTGCTGTTGGAAAGCGGAGGGATGTTTCATAGACTGAGATTTCTGTGACTTGCTTGTTTTTCAAGAAAACATGAGAAAGTACATGGGTAAGTGTAAGCAAGGAAATCTTTAGATTTTGTTATTTACCTGATTATTTTGATTTCAAAGTAGCTCTTCTACTTCACAGTTTCAGCTGGAAAATGGATGACTTATACCAAATGCCTAATGGTTAAATTGTCCTCTAACTATAAGAAAGCAGTTTTAAAGAAACCAATTAATGTGTCCTCCCACACATGTTGCAGAATCTATAATTTAGTTGTGAGAAGTCATTCAAGGGAGCTAAGATTTGCAGGAGCTACCTCCTGTTTGGAGTACATTTGCTGTCATGTGTGGATGTGCTTGTGTGACGTGTGGATGGTGTGGCCATCTCATACTAAGGCATATTAGGTATTCAGTAAAGACTAGCTTAATGCAAGGAGCAGCATCTTACTCAGATATTTGTCTATAATTAACTTCAGTAGCTACTTAAAATAGAGAAGTAATTTAGGAAAGAAATGCTATCGTCCATTTTTCTCCAGTGTCCAGTGAAGCCTTCAGATGGTATTTCTTTGATCTGCCAAAAAAATTAGGTGTTTTTTTATTTAATAAATTCATAGTAGTTCTCACATAGTTAAAACAGGCATGATTTTAGTAAAAATTGTGCATTCTGATACACATTGTCACTTAATTAAAAAGAACTGTAATGTTTTTTTGGCAGTTTTAGTTTCCTGTTGGTCATGTATCTTTATCAATGATGATATTGCATTTAAGTAGTTAAAGTGCTAAACTATCACTATTGTCAACATAGATATCTGATTTTGGCTATTTTAAACCCCTGATTTCAGTGAATGTATATATCCATACACACATAGATATGCAAACACATAGTCATAGTGTATCCTGAGAATCCTCAGAACCATTCATTTCTGTTATTTTAAATCTAGGAATATCACGGTTAAATAAGGATCAGGATAAACAAATAGGCCGAATAGATGTTTATTCAGGGAGAAATAACTTACAACCTAGACAGATGAACACCAGGAAATTCAACCCGATCCTCTCCTGTCCGAGTCACGCCAGCAAGAGAGCCAGCAAGAGAGCTTTCCCTGGCTCTCCCTCCGACTTCCTTTCCCAGGTCACTTCCGTCCATGGCTCCACCCCCAATGGGCGTGGTGAATGCCACAGAAGGACTATCTCACTACATAGGAACATTAAGCTACCTTTCTAAAATGATTAGTAGCAAATATTTACTTAGTATCCAGTATGTCTGACATGCTTCATTATGCTTCTCGATATTGGCAAAATAATGAATACCTTCCCTATTTCTAAGATAATCTAATATTAAAAGATAGGACCTCATGCTTTGGAGATAATGACTTTTGACCCCAAACTATATACATGTACAGGTGTATATGTGCATTTGTACTGTAGACTGAACCTTGTGCCTCACACATGCTAGACAAGAAAGCACTCAGCAGGTTAACTACAGCCTCAACCCTTCAAAACCATATTTTTTATTGCAGAGAAAAACCTGCTGCATTTCTTTATTCTCTAAAAACTTACAGCAATTTTATTCTGAATGCTATATAGCAAGAAAGCACAAAGCCATTGTAGATGTCTCTGTCCCATTTATCCCTTATCCTCACTTTAGTTATAGAAGAAAAATCCAATTAGTGACTACTGACCTACCACAAGTTTAAGAAAAAAGGGTTGATTCAAAAAAGTGAGTCAAAAGTACAGGTAGGCAAAGGAGTATTGTTACAAATAGCCCATGCACATCCCAAGTATAAATAGGATCATGAACAAGCCACAAAGGAGCCAGTGGTCACCAGAACTCAGGAAATGGGACTGAAGCACCAGTCAAGGCCGCTTTCATTAGAAGCACACTGACTTCCCCCACAGCAGTTGCTGGAAGGCCATTGTCTAGTCATATGGTGAGTGGGATGATTCAGGAGACCACGTGAGTCATTGTTGTACCAGCTCTCTTCTTTCCTTGAGTCAGAACCAATGGAAATTAGTAGTTAAGGTCTAAGGACAAATGAACACTGGCTGGAGCTATTGGTGAAATTTGTCTTTGGAGGGGTGTGGTTAGTTTCAGAAAGTTATTCCACAAGTATGGAATCAGTGGTAGATGTTCATAGAAGCAATTTTCTTAGGCAATAATAGCTATGTGAATATTGCTGACAATGAAAACAAGTTAGTCTTAGTTTAAAATGATTACCTGTGAATAAAAGCATCCATAGTTTGGAAATGTATTGAATCAGGCCCCATACATCAATCATAAATTGAAGAGAATGATGCTTACTACTATTTTTGTAATTTTCAATTATGGCTGAAGAAATAAGTAGGTAAATACATGTTGGTATATAATAAAAGACTTTCTTAACCTTGTGTATGAGAATACATCTATCAGCCATCTATCTATCTTCCACTAATCACCTATTATCTATCAAACATCTATTAATCTATCATCTGTCTATCACATATGTATCTATCTACTCATCTATCTACCTATTCATCTGTCTTCTATCAATGTATCACCTGTTTGTCTGTCTATCTATCTATCTATCTATCTATCTATCTATTCTTCTATAGCGATATATATTTACCAGAGTTAATTAACTATTGTTGTATTGAGTTTTCACTAGATAGTGGTTTGAAAACGGAAAGTTCCCCTTGTCGTTATCATGTCTATATTCTCAGTACTTCAGAAGCTGAAGCAGGATAATGAATGATCAAGATCAGCCTGGACAACATAGTGAAAGCCTGTCTCAAAAGAATTCCCTGTTATTTAAAAATACACCTCCCCCCTTTTGCTCATTTATTAGAGGCTACTTATCACTACACTGACCAGTATCAAAATCTCTAATCTATGGAGAGGAAGGAGTAAGTAATACAATATGAATGCCACTGTTACATTTGGTACAAAGGTCTTATGAGGTCTCATTAGTTTCACTTCTGCATTTAAAATTAAAATATAATTCTTTCTGGAGACAATATGAACTTATGGGATCTCTCTTGAGCTGACATTTACAAGTAGTTTGTAGATATATATATATAAAACAAAACAAAACAAAAACAAAAACCAGGCAATCTGTTTCCCAGTAGCAGTGCCAGTCAGCCCATGGTTCAAATTCATAAGACTGAGAACTAACCCAGTGTTATTCTGTCAGCTTCTCAAGTCTTTAATGAATGAATATTGCATACATCCAGGTTCTGAGATAATGCTGTATATGTGAGGAGCTTAAATTTAAACAGGGCATGAACTAGGTCACATTTTGATCACGAGATATTTTTTTGTTTGAGTCTTTTTTATCCACTTGTAAATATTTGATACCCAGCGATAAAGCTACTGTGTGTTGTGCTGTGTACCACAAAGAGTAAGGGACAGCTTGTACTTTCCATTGCTTAGAAGCAAATGCAGTGAAGTGGAGGCAGTACGATGGTTACATGAAGCGACTACACCGCCAGTGTCAGAGAGCTGTAACCTTACTGTCATGGGAGGTCAAAAGAGATCTCATCCAGCGTAGCAGGAAGGGAACACTTTAGGACAAGTGACTTAAAAATTTTTTTTATCAGCATCTAGTAATTAATCATAGCAGCAAATTATATTATAACATTTTAACACAGGTACATAACACATTTTGATCATGTTAACCCCAATACATTCTCTCTCCCCACTTCTATTTTCTCAACTATCTCCATTCTCATTTCCTGTGTGTGTGTGTGTGTGTGTGTGTGTGTGTGTGCGCGCGCACGTGTGTCCCAGTGAGATTTCAAAGGCATGAAAGAAGATTTGTTTGCAGGGGAAGGGCCACCTTGCCAATGGCTACACCTCTCCCAGCAATCATTAACTTCCTATAAATCCTGAGGTAGGACTGGGATCCCACACACCTCTCTTACTTATTCAGCAGGGAATGGACAGGCCCATTCTTATACAGAATGTGTACAGGTAATTATTGCTACTAAAAGTTCTAGAGAGCAAAAACCATGGCACACAATGACAGCACTCCACACAACTCCCTCCGGGTGTTAGGTTTTTTCTGTCCCCTCTTCTACTGTATTTCCTGATACTTTGAGAGAGTAACACAGATGTGGGATAGTGACTTTTAGGTTTGATTTTAACATGAAAGAAAAGTATTTTCAAAGGTAAGACCATAGGCTAATATACTTCAGTTCAGACATCTTCATTAGAAATTAATAGTACTAGGCTACTATAAATTACATTGCTTGAAGTTTTTCCCTGAATTTTTTCTTTTCCATTTTTTTCTTACATTATTTCTGAAATAAATTTGAAAACCCAAAGTCTGACTTGAGCAGAAGTTAACAGTGTGTGAAACTGGTGATAGATTTAAGTTTTCTGTCATTATTATCTCTGAATTTGTAGCAAATTTAGAGCCAAATAAGGGTCCTTTATGACCTTAGAGGTTTGTGAGGGAATGAGGACAAGCTACAGAGTTTAGTTTCATTCTGAATACGTTGAAATCATATTGGCGTGTGATTTTACTTCAAATCACTAATGGATGTGGTCTTATTCCAAGCAGGACGTCAGTATGGATTTTGAACTTGAAGAGCATTTTAACAAGATGGTTGTCACAGAGAACAATACTGCTGCCACTGGAAATGCTGCCTACCCTGTGTGGGATGAGTACAGGAGCGCAGAGAACAACACTGCTGCTGCTCGGAATGCTGCCTTTCCTGTCTGGGACGACTACAGGGGCAGTGTGGACGATGTACAATACTTCCTGATTGGGCTCTATACATTTGTCAGTCTTCTTGGCTTTATGGGAAATCTACTTATTTTAATGGCTGTTATGAAAAAGCGCAATCAGAAGACTACCGTGAACTTTCTCATAGGTAACCTGGCCTTGTCTGATATCTTGGTAGTGCTATTTTGCTCACCTTTCACACTGACCTCTGTCTTGTTGGATCAGTGGATGTTCGGCAAAGCCATGTGCCATATTATGCCTTTCCTTCAGTGTGTGTCAGTTCTGGTTTCAACTTTGATTTTAATATCAATTGCCATTGTCAGGTATCATATGATAAAGCACCCTATATCTAACAATTTAACAGCAAACCACGGCTACTTCCTGATAGCTACAGTCTGGACCCTGGGCTTTGCCATCTGTTCTCCTCTCCCAGTGTTCCACAGTCTTGTGGAACTTAAGGAAACCTTTGGCTCATCATTGCTGAGCAGCAAGTATTTGTGTGTTGAGTCATGGCCTTCTGATTCATACAGAATTGCTTTCACAATCTCTTTATTGTTAGTTCAGTATATTCTGCCTTTAGTTTGTTTAACGGTAAGTCACACTAGTGTCTGCAGGAGTATAAGCTGTGGGCTGTCCCACAAAGAAAACAGACTGGAAGAAAATGAGATGATCAACTTAACTCTTCATCCATCCAAAAAGAGTGGGAACCAGGCAAAGTCCCCCAGTAGGCAAAAGTGGACTTACTCATTCATCAGAAAGCACAGAAGAAGATACAGCAAAAAGACGGCATGTGTTTTACCCGCTCCAGCAGGCCCTTCTAAGGAGAACCATCCAGTTCCAGAAAACCTGGTCTCAATCCGAAGTCAGCTCTCTTCATCCAGTAAGGTTATCCCTGGGGTCCCTACCTGCTTCGAGGTAAAACCTGAAGAAAACTCAGATGCTCATGAGCTGAGAGTGAAGCGCTCCATCACTAGAATTAAAAAGCGATCTCGAAGTGTCTTCTACAGACTGACTGTACTCATACTAGTGTTTGCTGTTAGTTGGATGCCACTGCACCTTTTCCACGTGGTGACTGACTTCAATGACAATCTTATCTCCAATAGACATTTCAAGCTGGTTTACTGCATTTGTCACCTGTTAGGCATGATGTCCTGCTGTCTTAATCCAATCCTATATGGATTTCTTAATAATGGGATCAAAGCAGATTTGAGAGCGCTTATACACTGCCTACACATGTCATGACTCTCACTGTTTAGCAAGGGAAGAAAAGTTGAGATTGTCTAAAATACATCTGTGCTGATGATGTGCGCATACATTTAATTCACATAAAAGTGTTCTGAATCTTAATGCCAGTTCATAACGTATGTATGATAATTTTAATGTTACAATGTGGTTAACTCAGTTCAGGGTCAATGTCAATTTAATTTGTAACATCATGTTTTAGAGTAGTGACATTGTCTTCCATTTCATATCATCACTGATAAGTGGGTAGTACTTTTTGTTTGATGTCAAAGTTATAGTAAACTAAATGGATATTTTGCACAAAATTGGAAGAAGCAAAAAGGTTCTTAGGAGAAAATATTTAATGACAGGTTTAAGAAATTTCTATTATCTAGATACCCTCATTTCAATTTCACAGACTTCTTAGTAATTTTTTGCAAAATACAAAAATATTTAATATGCTCCCAAAGTCTGAACTCTGTTACAGATGTATGAAGTGATATTTTGTTTGTGATCTAACAAATAAAGCTTGGCTGAAGTTCAGAGTGTGGAGCTATCCACAGTAGATAGCCATAGATGCCAGGCAGTGGTGGCACACACCTTTAATCCCAGCACTAGGGAGGTAGAGGCAGGCGGATCTCTATGAGTTCAAGGCCATCCTGGGCTACATGAGATTGATTCAGTCTAAAACCATAAACAAAGTCAGACAGTGGTGGCTCAGACCTTTGATCCCAGTACTTAGGGGTCATACACTTTAATCTCAGTACTAGGGAGAAGGAGACAGGAGTGATATGGCTTGGTGATATGGTTTGGCAGAGAGATGAATAAAATGGAAGGAGACAGGAGCTCATTGCATTCAGTCCGAGGATTCCTAGAGACAGGATCTGGGGATTCAGTAGAGGTAAGAGGTCTCACTTGTGGCTAGCTCCTTTACTCCTCTGACCTTTCAGTATATACCCCAATATCTAAACCTGGGTTTTTATTATTAAGACTTATTAGAATTTGTGTTACAGATGTATGATTAAATCACAATTACAAGTTTACAAGAAAATGATTCTCTCCTATTATTGAAGATTGGTAAAATTGTCATTTAACTTATCAAGTACAAATAGGTTTTAAATCTTGTTTAGATTTATATCACATTAAAACTGTCAAATAAAGGTGGTTTTTTTTATATACAGCTTTTCTGTTCTAAAACATGAAGTCTAAATGTTGTCTGTATTTACAACTATTAAATAACTTATATTAAATAACTATCTTAAAGGTCCACAGATGCTATGACTAGTTAGTTGTTTGTTAATATAAAATAAAAGTAAATAACAGATTTCATGTTATTTCTATGTCCTGTGCATGTTAGGTATCATGTTGTCTTGCTAAAGCGAAGGTGACCTTCACGTCTATTTGACATTTTTCTTCATTCGAGTCCATTTGTTGCTGCTGTTGTTTGTTTGCAGAACTGGAGAGGAACTGAAGGCCTTCTGCATGCTAGCAAGTACTCTGTTACTGTCTCTGGCCCATAGCAAGGGCTAAGCCCCTATAAAAATAATGGATTGTCTGCACATATAAGCCGGATGCATAAACAGTATTGATGTCTTTAGTACTTATAATTGATTTAAGCAATCCCATGCATTGATTCCTGTTAACCACAAGGGGAAACAATAAAACAAGCAACCCACTTCTAAAAAACACTCTTTAGGTTTGTAAGTCATAGATAATTCCTGTGTTTACTCAACTAAAAGCCCCGCATATTTACAAGAGGTTTCTGTCTGTGCTGTTCTTTATTCTTCAATGAGGCCTATGCACAGGAGAAACTTCTGTGCTTTGCTGTGGTGTAGAAGCTGGTACTGGGTCCCAAGGTGGTCTCTGATGTCTCCTGTTGCGCTATAGCTGAGGTTCCTGTATCACACCAACTTTTTCTTTTGCTATGCAATGTGTTATCCCTTTGAAGTCAGAGCCATATAGTCAGACCCAGAATCCATCTCTGTAGCCAGGGGATAACTAGCAGCATGACTTCCTCAGGCCTTATGTCTGCTGTACCACCTTCAGTATCTAACCCATGTCTACACATGAGCATTCTGCTTGCTTCTTCCTTTGTACACTTTCAAAGATGACCACAGCTACATGCCCCATACATTGTCTGGTTCCTGCAACCCATCTGAAGTTACATTAATGTCTTCCCCCATGTGTTTGCCTCACTACTGAAAAGGGTAGAAACCTAAGTAGGTTTGACTTCCCTACTCCTCCTCATTTTTAATACTATGTGCTTCTGCTTCTTTTTTCTTGATAAGACATCTCTCATTATAGCTCTCTACTTTTCTGTACCATGTGTGCTTACACTAAAGCAATGTTTAGAGACACCAGGTTTGTCTTTGGAAGCCAGGTTTTTCATTGGGAAAACTATCCTGCAGTATTTGGGTCAAACTAATGTCTCACTGTGGATGAAGATGAGTCTTAGCAAGAGAATGAGCCTTTATTTAAAGCAGTAAGCATTCTCACTTTCTCCAACAAAGTTAAACACTTGCTGTCAAGTGAAATGGAAAGCAATACAAATAAGGGACAAAGAGAAATCCATGGGACATAACATATTCTATTCCCTTAGATAACCTATCAGCAGAAAACATACAGCAAGCACTAAACATCTCAGAATTTATAGTTGTTGATTAATGAATTTAGTTAGACTAAGTAAACCAATTTGAGGCTGGTAAACTATTGAACTCAAAGGAAGCAATTTATCTGACCTAGCAAGGACTAAATGTTTTTAATAATTGAAAGTTAAGAAGTTTCAATGGGTTGTTGGCTAGAAGCCACTGAAGCTGGGACTCATGATCTTAGAAAGTTGTCATGAGTGATAATTTCTTCCGTGAAGCCTTGCTTAGTTGGGTTCAACTATCATTATTCAGTCATTGCTCAAGGTCTGATTGCATTACTGTGTTCCAATTCTCTCCTGGGATCTGGCATCATTACTGGTTCAATAGCATCCTCTTAAAACCATGACTGGGGGAAGTGGATGGAGAAGAAATTATAAAAAGTCAACCCCATTACTTTTAAACAATTATTTAAAAATATTTAACCCAGGAAGTAGGTTCAATTGAGGTTTTTTGTGGTTGTTTAGATTGCCCTTGCTATCTGTTACCCATTACAGTGGGTGACAAAATGCTACATGGAAGAGGATAAAAGCTAAAGAGAGTTCAAAGAGCAACTGACATGACCAAGTCACGAAGAACTCCATGTTATGATTATTCTAGTAAGTACATGACGATTGAATACCTTCAGATATAGCTTCAATGAGTCCTCTCCCACTCACAGGGAAACTTAGTGTATTAAGTTGTGACACATTAAGAGATAGTAGGTGAGGGGAACTCTTCCTTATTTCTGGCAATGGATTAGTTACTCTGAGTGAGTTGTAATCCACGGGAGTTTGGCTTCCTTGGTTCAGCTGTCTCACTTTCATGAGATTCCTTACCATCTAACACCTTCTATCACGTGGAATAGCAGCATGAACACTTTTGCAGGGTGACAGCACTTTGGTATTGTACTTCTAACCCGTATGACTGTAAGCAGTATGCTTCTTTATACTTATTTGAGTTTGATAGTGACAGAAGCTAGATGAAAACATAGAGTGTTGACAGGCCTCTCCTGAGTGCTTGGGATGTGTAACCGTGGAACCAAGTAGTTATGTAATCAGCCCTTGAACAATGGAGATATGACTGAGCAAGAACTGTTAACTCACAAAGTAGGTCTCCACAGAAGTGTTTGTCACTTGTAATACTTCTCTAAAATTGGGAATCCAAATCTTAATGGCTTCTCTCCAAGAATAATAGGAAGAGACACAGAAAACTCCTGCATTTGGTATTTTCCTTCTGAGATGTTGAAATCCAGTGACAAGAAGTATAAAAACAATAAATATTCTCTCTCTCTCATTCTTTTCTCTTGCTCATTCTCTCTCTCATTCTCTTCTCTTCTGCTCCCAGTTGGCCATTAGCTACCCACCTTCTTTTCCCTACACCAACAAACTCCACGTGGACGCATTGAAAAACAAAACAATAAATACTAACATACAAAAATTAGAGGGAAGATACAGTCCATAGACATGCGCATTATTTTGTAAGGCTGCCACACAAAGTGCCACAAACTGGGTGACATAAAAGAATAGAAATGTATTAACACACAGGTAAACAAACTACAGGTTTCCATTCAATGTGCCCACAGGATTCATACTTCTAGCTTTTATGGGAGTCCTTCTAGCTACTGTGAGTAGCTGGCAATCTCTGGTGCTACTTATGTCTACATAGTTCCAGTCTCTTCTCCTTTTGTCACTCATATACAAAATGTAATTCTTTTAAGGGCAGGATCCCTATTTGGGTTGCCACTCTCTACTGTAGTACAATTTTAATTATCTAACTGTATTAGCTAATTCTGCCTAAAATGTCTACATTTCCAAATAAGGTTATATTTTAAGACATAATGGAACCCTCAGCAGCATTTTCAGTAACTATTAGTAGTGATGTGAGCCTTAGAACCATATGGACTAGGATCAGAAAGGGAAAACCTGTGGTGAGAGGAGACTAAGATGGGGATTCATGTGGGACAGTTCCAAAGTGTTCATTGAGGATAAAAAAGAAATCAGGGAAATGGGAAAAACTTGAAAAAAGTGAGGGTGGCTCTAGCATGGAAAATAGAACTTGAGGGGGAAAGCATAGCTAACAAGAAGTTCTGCAAAAGAAACAAAAAGATCATTACCAAGGGAAATGAGATCACTAGCAATCCTTCAGGTACTTAAGGCCACGAGAGGATGTTCACCTTGCCAACATCTTTTTGAGCAGAGAAGGAACTTCTGACCTGCACTAAAAGGGTCATTCTTGATGTGAAAGTAGAGTGGAGGTTCTAAATGGTTGATATGTTGGTTCTGCTACATCTCTTATATCTATTAGGCCAGATACACGGACAAAAGTTACTTTTTCTTTAATCTCTTATTTGTTCGGCCAGTGAGAGAGTATGTCCAGTGGACACTATTTTTGCAGCAACAGCAGAGTTAGGAGTTCCTTTCTGTGCAGTAAAATCCTAACATGAGGGATTTGAAGGAATGAGAGTCCCTTCCTC